AGGCTGATACAAGGTTGATACAACAATAATACAAGGTTGGAACTCGGCACATCTCTATTGAACTAATTAATTCATTTTAAGGAAGTCTATTTTTTTTGCCATACTTCTCTAGACTTTTCTAGAATGATATAGATAGATAGGTGATTTTATATGTTCAAAGAAAAATGAATAGGAATTTACATTGTCAGTTGGGATTTACAACTAACAATGACTTAAATCTTTAAATCAAAGAATATGAAAGAATGTCATTCTATTTTTTTTGCTGCTTCAATGAAGGTTAAGAAGGGAACAAAGTTTCATTGTTCTACTTGTCAATGCCTTTCATCAGGATGCATGGCTAAATTATTTATGTGCCTGGTAGTTTCCAAATAAGTCATTATTCACTTATCAACAGTGATGAAAGAGTAAAAAGGCATCATTACCGTTTGCAGTCATCTTTATGGCAGTCAAAATGCATGTTCTTTGCAACCATCAAAAGCAGCTGACTGACACATGAAAATGCCTTCCGCTCTGGATTTTTCAAGAAAGGTTAAATGTACATTTCTTTAAAACAAAAATCCCATACCCCAGATTTGACTAGTCACTTCCAGGTAGGGCACCTCAGAATAGCAGAGTGTGACTGAGAGGGAACAGTAAGATGTTCAGATAGAGTGAGAGAGCAGATGATGTAATGATGTGGCCGGGCCAAGCCTAAATTACTCCCGCCAGCCTGACCTGGCCACTGAAGCCCCTTCCATTGCTTTCAGTCATCCCTGTCATATCAACCTTTCAGTCAGGAATTTTGTCCCTTACAATATGTGTCTTTCTTAGTCAAATGCAAGGTATGTATTTTAACTAGCTACTCCTCTTTTCTGAGCAGTTTACAACCATGAATAATGTCTAAAGTACATGTATTCAGAAACAAACAATTTAAAACAACCCATTTGGGCTGCTATTCTTCCGCTTTGAGCATCTTTGATTTGTAAAGGAACTGTAGCAGTCCGAGTGGCTTGCGATGCTGTGCCTAAGTGATGCTTGATTTCAGTTCACTCCATTATTGCCTTAAAATAAAAAAGGGCCCAATGGAAAACAGCACTAGGAATTACATTGAATGCCTCCGCCATGGAACTAACCACTGTCCTAAAATGAACTTGGCCATGGGTTCACTAAGTGGATCGTCCTGCCTTCAGAAAGAGAGGAGCAACACAATCTTTGAGACCTCAGAAGCTATATCCCTTCTCCAGATAACTCTCTACTGAAGCTTAGATGTAAGATTTAGGATTTCCAAAATTTGACTACCAAAGCCAAATGTCCCATGCCCCCACACTGATGTCATTCATTTCTAATATTAGCAGCAGAGCAGCTCAGGTTCACCTGGGGAAGAGGAGCTTTTATTTTGAGTTAAACAGGAGCAGATACTAAAAATGAACACGGTGAGGCTTCCTTCTGGTATATCTGACACAGATAAAAGAGGTAAACCAGCACAATGAGACTAGCATTTTGAATCAAGTGGGAAAGGAATTTAATCGAATTGAAAACTTGATGTGCTTACGGAATTTTTATGTAGCAATTGTGCAAACACTGAGGAATTAAGAAATAAAATGAAAAATCTATAAAGTTGTTTTGTTGTACAGTGTCACTCAAGATCATAAAGTGTTCATGAAAATTCCATATGGATGAGATAAAGAAGGTTCCAGAGCATCTGTTATAGCCCAGCATGATGTATAAACTTGGCCCTTATTTGGCGGTACCGCTACATAAACAAGCTTTTGGATGATATAGGTTGTGTTTATTAGATCAAATGCTTCCAGTGTTTGTGCTCTTATTACCCAGCCGAGCTTAAAAGGATCAGAGTAGCTGGACCAGGGCCATAACTCCCGTTAGTATTGTGTAGACAGAATCATGGACAGGAGGATGCAGATGTGACATTCGGAAATTGTGTTGCAATTTCAGGCCCTGAATTCGAGAGAACTAGCTCTTCCTACCTTCTCCATCTATAAAGTGAGAGGCATCGACATGTGTTGATAGGGCTTCCTGAGGTAGGAGTCTCACAAATAGACCCAGCCCTGGATAAAGTCAGGGCAATGGACTAAGAGACCAGATACAGTTCATACACAGAAAATGCCTCTCACCTTAAAGACAAGGACCTGAGATTGGGACTGGGGTGGTGGGATCATTTCATTAATGTCTAACCACTATGCTAATATAGAATGATACTGAGAGTCAACTATAATTGAAAACTAAAAAATAAGAAGAAAAAGAAAGAAAATAATAAAAAAAACTCCACACAACCATTTGAATATGGTAACTATTCCCTCTAGAGCAGTGGTTCTCAAGCTGTGGGTCGCGACCCCTTTGGGGGTCGAATGACCCTTTCACAGGGGTCGCCTAAGACCATCGGAAAACAAAAAGATATTTACGATTCATAACAGTAGCAAAATTACAGTTATAGAGTAGCAACGAAAATCATTTTATGGTTGGGGGTCACTACAACATGAGGAACTGTATTAGGGGGTCGCGGCATTAGGAAGGTTGAGAACCGCTGCTCTAGAGGGTGAAGATATTTAGAGAAAGAGTTAAAGGAAATAAAATCATCAAGGCTCAATGTGGGACCTATCACCACTGTATCAATATTTGTCTGTAACTGAATTTACCTTACCACACAAAATCTTCTAAGGCTTTCATTCCAGAAAAGCTGGCCTGGCTGGGTGTTTAAACAGCAGTGACAGGAAAATGGGCCATGTTTTACTACTTGCTACTTTGCAGTGTGTTTTTGCTGACGATTCTCAGGTTTCTCAAGTCTGGTCTTCCAAATCCAAAGCAGAGTGATCATTATCTTCCTAAGTCACTATCATAAGGAAAACAGGGCAGGTCTCCCCGCCTTGGGTGTGGACATGTTGCTCAGTGACAACCTTGCCCTATTTGAGTTTGTGAGAAAAATGTCTTGCTCGACATGGTTTTCTGCACCAAGTCCCTCCTCCCTGTTATCAGAATCACTGAAAGATATTAAAATGACCTGAAAATCCTTACCTGGATCTTCTTCCCATGACACCCACATAATTATGCAAATATAAGCGTGAAATAGTATCCGCCTTCCCCTGTACTCCCAAAGACTTCCACGGAGGCCATACCCAATTCTGTTGTAATTACATGGTTGCCTTTCTGTGCCCCTCAGAAAAGGGTGAGGGTAGAGCACTTGTGCTTTGTTCCTCTCTGTGTCCCCATGACCTGGACATTGTCTGGAACGTGATCACCTCCCCCTACATCTTTACCGATTCATCAATGTGGGATATCTCTACCGGGAAGACTGCTGTTTACATTTACACAAGCTTGCTTTTTTTTGTTTTGATGTAGTCTTCTTTTATTCTCCCCATTATATAGCTTTTGCTCTTGATTCCTATTCTTTAAAATCAGTAGACTTTTAGACTAAAACAAAGATCTTCGGGCTACATATCCTATAGTTTTCCAAGAAACTACTAAATGAACAGTTTTTTGTGCAAATTATTTTCATGGGAGAGGCTCAATTTATTTTTACCCTATTGAGTAAAGTAGTTCAAAATATTTTCCACACATACCTTTATGCAAGAGCTTCCTTCCAGGTGCATATATCTAATCCCTATGGGAAAATATAGCACTACACCTGGGCGAGGGTGAGCAGAGTCAGAAATCTCAGAAAGGAATTATGCCTTGCTTTTGCTTACCATGCAAAGGTACTTTAGCATACATTCCCATGTCCTGGCCCCATGACAGTGATGCCAGATGAATGGCACAGGCGTTACTATCATATTCTACTAATGAAGAAAATGAACCCCCAGAGGAAGGAAGCGACTTCTCCAAGGTTACCTAGCTAGTTGCCACAATGGGATAAAAACTTGGGGGTCTTTCATCTCTTTGCAATGTGATACACTCTGGACGATGCTATGAAATTAAATGTGTTGCTTAGGTGGCATTTTATAAATAAGAATTATAAGTGGAGGAAAAAAATTGATGCAAAAACGAGAGCACTAATTACTAACTATAAAGAAGCCCAACTGTAGAAGATCAAGGAAGGTCCTAGAAAAGCCGAGCTGTGCTGCAGCCGGAAAAGTCTGTGTGTGCTGCTTTGTTTAGGGGAGAGGAAAATAGTGTTCTCATAAGAGCATCTGGCAGATCGTAAGGGATGCAATTGTCTACCGTGTTTCAGTTATTTAAGCTTCACCTCCTCACAATGGAACCCTACAAAATTACATGAAGCATTCTCTGCCTGAGAATTTGATTTCTTCTCTGATGGCAGTTAGGCAGATGACAGGAGGATAGGCTGGGTCTGGGTCTCCATGGACAGACGCCTTACAATGAAGACTAGAGCGCCTCCTTCTCTCCCTCTTTAGAAAGCAGAACTATATTTCCCTTCTCTGATGAACTTTGAGGGTTTTGAAAAGAAAAGGTGTTGATGAGGAAAAGAATCATTTTTAAAGGACTAGTTGACCTTCTTATAGCAATTTTATGTAGCATTTTATTAAAAAATAATATCACTTAGCTTAAATAGCCTAAAGGATTTTGTTCTTTTAGTAACCCCCATCCACTAGTAATAATACTCTGTTTTAGAAGTCAGTTTGTCGGTTACTAAACTGATGAGTATTTATTAAGGGTCCACTGTGAGTCAGGCTCTGTTGATGAATAATGCATGAATAACACAGGCCTGCTTGGTGAATAAGATACAGATCTTGCCCTCAAGGAACTCACATTCTAGAAAGAGAGAAAGACAATTTGCAAATAAATTAGTAAAAACTGTCATTCAAGGCTGAGCTGAAAAGCTGCACTTGGTGGGGACATTGGTTCTTGCGCTGATCCTGAGCACATTCTGAACATCCTAGTAGTGCCCAATGGAGAGGCTAGAGCAGGGCCTGTGTGTGGGGCTCTGCTTCTGCCATGACGCTAGTCGAGCACAATGCCATCCAAAGTGAGATATAATATTCATGGTTAAATGTATACACTTGCACCTGAAAAAACGATGACCACATGTTGCTTTATTTTTATTCTAGGAATCTTGGAAAATCAGGACTCAGAGTTTCTTGCTTGGGTCTTGGTAAGTACTTGGGGTATCATGTGGGGTTGGTTGCGAGGTGGGAGGTTGGGGAGGATGCCAGGGAGTGATCGGGGTGCAGGTCGGGGCCCGGCCTAAGGTGAGAAGGGACCTCCTGACCAGCATTGCGCCATTTCTCTTTTGGAGCCTTTCCCACCCAACACAGCCCTCTCTCACTCAGGCCCACAGAGCCACCATGTTCACGATGCCTTGTGGGGGCTCATCAAAGAGAAAGAAATCTGATATTAGAGCACATCCCAGAGGAGGAGACTCATGTCTTACTCTCATTTAGCAAGTGTGAGGACCTCATGGTATGCATTTGTTTGCTCACCTCACCTGCAATGTCACCTGAACTTTTTCTATCCTTTTTTCCCTTTGCCTGATTTCTTGACTTATTTTTCTATATTATTATGTATTTTAGATACTTTTATAATCTACCTTAAATACTTTGGGGACAAGGTGATTTTACATATATATATATATAAGTTGGGAGGAGGGTTTTTTGACCCCTGTTGAATGAAAGGGATGATAGTGAATGGATTAAGATAGTGGCAACAATTCTGCCTCCTTTCACTGTATCTCAAAGATATTAAGGTTATCAATGTCTAAGTTATTCTGATTCTTCCTAATGCTCTGATTAGGGAGGGAAGGGTGGTTTTTGTTTACCATAAGTCGAAGGGAGCTTGACATTTGCTTAATTTATGGCTCTGATCTTGTTACCATTTTCTTTTATTTGAAAGAAGATTCACTATCAGGGATAGTCTAACCTTAGTTTTATGAGAATGTGCTTAATGGTAAATCATTATTCACTCTCCATTGAAAGAAACTACCTATAAATAGAAATTAAGAAATATAATGATTTAAAAATATATAAATTAAGAAATATAGTTTAAAAAATCATTAACCAATTATCTCATAGAGTCACTATTATGGCAGAAAATAATTTGTCAAAAGTACATAGAAAACTCAACCAAAGGCCCTTAAGACTAAAAAATTCAGGTGCCCACAAAGCGCCACATGTCCATAAGTCTCCAGAGCGTAAACAACAGTTATTTTAACCACCTCCCTCCCAGGCATAAGCTGTAGGTATTTTGGTAAACTTTGAAACAGACCAGATTCAGGAGCCACAAGTCCTGATGTGAGTTTCAAGTTTTTCTGAGAACCTGAACCCTTGTGATAAGACATTGCATGAAAAATAGGAGGAAACAAGAAAAGTTTATGGGCCGATTGGCTTCATTCAAAACAGGTAACAAAGCTTGACAGCATGAATAAGAATTCTTTAGGAATTTTTCTGAGCTGCCTCTGTAAGGCAGAGGAGACAAAAAATTCAGAGAAAGGAATAATAAACCTGCCTTAGATAGTTTGTCAGGCTCTGCAGATCCCAGCTGTCAAATCCGGAGCGGGGCAGGGGGTGGTAGTGCAGGTTTATTGCTGTAGGCTTCGGATGTCAGCAGTCACAGGCCATATTTAACTGAGGTTTTGGAAATTAAGTGTTAAGTGTTCCAAGCAATCACGTGACTATAGATGTCTATTATTGAAATACTGTAAAGTTTATAGCGAAAGCTAACAATTCTGACTTTCTTCTCTGTCGGAGGACAGGCTGGGAATTTCTCACCCTGTCAAGTTTCCTTTTGATAAACCAAGAGTAGGTGAAAATGGGAGAAGACAGGTGAAGTAGCTTGAGGATGAACCGATGAGACATCTGAAGAAACAGAGCTCTGCCAATAAGAGAAATAGGGGGGAAATTAAGTGGCCAAACCCACCTGTGGGTTGCTATGACTGGCCTGGTTTATAACTACACTGACCACTACTGTTCAGACCCAAATTCAAAGAAACCGATGGGAAAGGAGTAAATCCATCAAAAATCCGCTAGACTGGAGGTAGGATCATCTTCTGAGAGAGGAAGAATAGAATTTATGTATCCATTCATTCATTCATTCTCAGCAAACATTTAGGAAGCCAGGCATGGTGCTGCTTACAGGGGATACCAAGATGAAAGCAGCAAGGCCCCTGCTCTCAGATTGCTCCCCATGTGATAGGAGTCAGACATGTAAAAACAAACAATGCGTTTGACAATGCCATCATGGAGAGTCCCAGATGAACCAGGATGAACCAAGCGCAAGGAAGAGCTAGGGAATTTGGGACGGCTTCACAGGGGAGGTGCTGCAGGAGTTGAGACTTAAAGGAAGTCATCAAGTGGACAAGGAGGTGGAAAAAAGGGCAAAGAATTCAAGACAGAGGGAGCAACACAAACAATAGCCTGGAGCGAGTATCCTGGGGCAGGAGGTACTTGGGGAAACATTAGCGAATGTGTAAAATATTGTGAATGCTAGGTGTTTGGGGACCACAAGAAAAGAGTCTGGAGGGAAAGCGAGGCCTGATTGGAAAGTCCTTGTTTGCCTTGCTAAGGCATTTAGCTCCTGTCCTTTAGGTCTCTGGTATTCCTCCGCGTCCTAAGACCCCACAGTCTCAGGGAACCCTTGGGGGATGAGGGACAGACAGGGCTCCACTCTCTCCACCCTCCTCCTTCCATTGCCACAGCTTCCTTCAAAGTAACTCCACTTTTTCCTAAATGTAAATGTAAATATAAAAAATATTAATGTAAATTTAAATGTAAAATTTTTAATGTAAATTATAAATTTAATTTTTTAATGTAATGGGTAATAAATGACTATTTTTTTAGAGCAGTTTTGGGTTCACAGCAAAACTGAGCAGAACATACAGAAAGTAGAAAGTACAGAAAGCCCTTCCCCCACATGCACTCACTCACCCCACTATTGCCATCCCACAACAGAGCGGTCCATTGGTTACAGTCCTACATTGACACATCATTCTCACCCAAAGACTATAGTTTACACTAGGTATATGTATAACTCTTGGTGTTTTACATTCTGTGGGTTTGGACAAATGTATAATGGCATGTATCCACCATTAAAGTATCAGACAGGGCAGTTTCACGGCCCTAAAAATCCTCTGTGCTCTGCCTTTTCATCTCTTCCTCTCTCCTAACCCTTGGCAACCACTGATCCTTTTACGATCTCCACAGTTTTACCTTTTCCGTAATGTCATATAGTTGGCATCTTACAGTATGTGGACTTCTCAGATTGGCTTCTTTCATTTAGTAATATGCATTTAACTTTCCTCCATGTCTTTTCATGACTTAATAGCTCATTTCTTTTCAGTGTTTCCTATTCCATTTTGAAGGAGGCTGGGGGAAAGACATCCTTCTGCCAAAGAAAAGTTTAAAAACTCTGCTCTACCTGGAAGCTATTTAAAAACTTGGATTAGGAGTAGGACATGATCAAATGTATTAGGATTGTTTTCCGGGGTCTATACGAAGGCTAGATTAGAGGGAGAAAGGGTTGAGACTGGAGATAGGGAGAGAAATTAGCAGTCAGATAATGAGATGGTGGTATCAGAGATGGACAGCAAGGAGGTGGTTATTTAGGAGGGAGAATAAACAGGACTTGGTGACCTTGGGATGCAGAAGGCGAGGTCTCCCCGAGCAGAGGTGGATGCCTGGGTTCCTGGATTGGGCATGTGGGTGGACAAGCGGAAACCTCAGGAGGAAATGCACAAGAGAGCAGTAAGAAGCAGGAGGATTCGGAGAAGTGGAAGCTTGTTGGGGAATGGTGATCAGAAAGTCTGTGAACTTCTGGCTTCAGATACCCACATGGCATGAGGAGTGCCGGAGAGAACTCTGGGCTGGAAATAAAGACCAAGGAGCTTGTAGCAGTGGTGAACCCAGGGTTGTCATTGAGATCACTGGCAACCACAGAGGACTGAGATATTCGCACAGGGTTAGGACACCCACCTTGTGGAGTCTGCCATACTGCTCGCTCCCTGAGAGGAAAGATGGCCTGTTTTCTCTACACCTTTGTTGTACCTTTAGTAGATCATAGTATCCAGGTAGTAGGTGCCAAAAAACATTTATTGAATGTATGACTGGACAGATGGATCAATTGCTAAGAAATGACAAAAAGTGCCCTGGGTAATAGCAAACATCCAGCAGAAGTCAGAAATCATGAATTGCTGGGGTCCAGCCAGCTCAGTTCTTTGGTTTTCTTCAGCTTCATTCAATGCAGAAACAGAGAGGGCCTCGTGGAGGTGGGAGGTGGGGAAAGGAGGGAGGGAGAGGGGGGAGGGAAAGAGAGAGAGAGAGAGAGAGACCCAGCATCACGGATTGTCTCCCAAATGGATCAGGGACCAGGAGGCTTATCGCATACGCTGTGCCATTGAGTCCAGGCTGGATTGGCTGAGAGCCTTCTCAGCAGGGCTCTCCCTCCTGCAGTTAGAAAGAGGCACCTGCCCACACTCTGAGTTGCTCCATGAGGAGCAGGAGGCCTGCCAGACTCCTGCCATGGAGGTGCCACAGCACAATGGGCAGCTGCTCCTACAGGTGCTTTAAAGGGGCTGACTTCACCCTGCACTGTTTTACACAAACAGGCTGTAATTCCTAGGTAGTGCAAACTGACTTCACGATTATTACGTCCTGTGTTCTTTTAGGCAGCCCTTTCCCACTTCATCTTGAAAGAATGAAGCCCTAAAGGAAAATATGTAACACTTTGGAGAACATGAGTCTCTTCAGAGATGTTTCTTCTCGCCACAGAATTATCTGTGGTGCTTTTAAAAATGCAGGTAACCAGTCTCCACCCAGACCTTTTGAATAATAAGCTCCCAAGGTGCCCCAGGCTCAGGTGTTTTTAAAAGGCTGCACTGATGATGATTCAATGATTCGGAGGCAGTGGCAGGGTTGGAACCTGTTGCCCTCGCCAGATGGAAGTAGATGGAGACATGTGTGAACTGGTACCTGGTGAGCTGGGTGCCAGAACTATGACTTCTATCTACCAGGTGGCTGCTGCCCGCTCCCCC